CTGTTCTCTCCAATCCACCTCCCCCTTGGTCAGCTCCATTCATCCTTGAATACTCTAGAAAATGTGGCAAATTGGCCATCCTGATTTGGTCATTGTTTTCAAGACTTTTGTTGACAAGCTATGGCAGAGGCTTTTGCAGAAGAATTTGTGGCAAGATGCATCTGCAAAACCTGGATATTCGGCTAAGGGCCGAGAGCAGATCCCAGCAGATCCCAGTGCTGAAAGCACTGAGAGCAGTATGCTCTGAGTGCTTTCACTGCTGGGAAGTGCTCCCAACTGCTTTCGGACCCTTAGCCGAATATCCAGGTTTTGCAGATGTGTACCACACAGACAATGTTGGAGGTGGGGGCTCCAGTCTGTTCAAAGACAGTTTTTGATGGCCACCTCAGGATGACTGTGATGAATATGTACCAGTACTTCTTCCACTCATAATACAAATTGCTTACATTACTTACAATCAAAAATGAGCTCTGAAATCTGGCATATCTGCTCATATGTCTGCAGTACTAATAGCTGACACTTAGAAATTTTGGCCAAGCATGCACCATATATGTTGCATTGTTTTGAGATACTCAATACAGAAATAAATGACCCAAAAAACAAATTTACGGTAAGTGTATCAAGGAGTCCAAGTGTATCAAGGACGCCAAAATCACTGTATAACATTCCAAAAAAAATTGAAGCGGTTCATATTATGATTCGACCCAGGCTCGAACTGAGGACCTTCTGTGCAACATGTGGAATGTTAGACAGATGCGATAACCAACTACGCCATCGAACCATACAAGCTCACCGTTATGTTGATTGAATCTTTCTCACTGACCAACTCAGAATAGTCGGCCCGCAGGATGAGTCAATATCCGGATATGGTCACGTGCACCGCGTCGTTGAACGACACCGCGAGAATTTTTTTGGTTTAAAAAGCAACCCAAAAGTTGGTCGCTCACTCAGTGCCACCACCACCACCTTACCTTCACACCCCCACTCATTTTGCAAATGTCTACCACTCCTACGCGTTACCCTTCTCCTGGGCCTACTCCTAGCAAAAAGGTGAAGATTTTCGTGCTATGTATCTGCCTTCGTGTAGACTCAGTTGTTTTCACAGGCTGCCGCTGCCCTAGCTTCATTTACCTTCGAATCGCCTACTAAGAAATCTGCGAAGAAGGCCGTTGTTGACGATAAACGTCGCTCTACCTCACCGGCTTCTCTAGAGGAGAATGAAGAGCAATGCGTGGAAGAAGAAACCACTCAGACCACATCCCCTGAGGAACTCGCTGCTTTGCACAAACGGTTCGTTGGAGAGGTCGAATTGCCAGAGAGTACGCGTGGTCCTCTAGGAGTCTTACGCGTCAATTGTATTAATCGTCCTTTCAGGCGAAGAACCACTTTTGTTAGAGTCAAGACGTCGTTTTGTGTTGTTCCCCATTCAATACCATGAGGTACGTCTAGATACGCGTCTGATTTACTCTAGAGGCGTCTAATGCATATCTCAGATATGGCAAATGTACAAGAAGGCCGAGGCCTCTTTCTGGACTGCGGAAGAGATGGATTTATCAAAAGACCTTCATGACTGGAACAACCGCCTGAATGACAGCGAACGATTCTTCATCTCCCGTGTCCTCGCGTTCTTTGCCGCCTCTGATGGCATTGTTAACGAGAATCTTCTCGAACGGTTCTCGAACGAAGTACAGGTCGCCGAGGCACGTTGCTTCTACGGGTTCCAGATTATGATGGAGAACATTCACTCTGAGACTTACTCTCTTCTGATCGACACCTACATCAAAGACCCTGTCGAACGTGATTTCCTTTTCGATGCTATCGAGACCATTCCTTGCATCAAGCGCAAGGCCGAATGGGCTCTTCGCTGGATCAGTGACGAGCACTCGGTTTTCGGCGAGCGTCTCGTAGCCTTTGCTGCTGTTGAAGGCATTTTCTTCTCTGGCTCCTTCGCATCCATCTTTTGGATGAAGAAACGTGGATTAATGCCTGGCTTGGCGTTCTCAAACGAGCTCATCAGTCGTGATGAGGGTATGCATACCGACTTCGCTTGCCTTCTCTTCAGCCACCTCCGTCGTCGTCCCCATCCAGACACCGTTGAACGTATTATCAAAGAAGCAGTCGCTATCGAGCAAGAGTTCTTGACTGGTGTGTGCTATCCATTACCTCCTTCGTGTTGCTGTTTGACCACTCTTATCCAGACGCGCTTCCTGTGAGCTTGATCGGCATGAACGCGACATTGATGTGTCAATATATTGAATTCGTTGCCGATCGACTACTCGTCGCTCTCGGCAACAAGAAGTTGTACAACTCGTCGAACCCCTTCGACTTTATGGACATGATCTCGTTACAAGGGAAGACAAACTTTTTTGAGAAGCGAGTGTCCGATTACTCAAAGGCTGGTGTGAACCATTCTGGTGACAACACTACAACACAAGCATCAAAGACATTGTGCGTCTGGTATTATTCTATTGTTACACGTCTCACTGACTATCGTCTCCTGATAGTGTGCTCGACGAAGACTTCTAAACATCGGGGAAACCGCCGTCGTTGCATGATTTCTCATAATGTAATTTATCGCTCACGCATTGCTATCTCATCGGTCAATTTTGTAATTCTCTTTGTTATAATTAGATATGTATCTTCACTAGCTCTATCAAATATTCAATAAAAGTTCTTTGAAAGTAAGGTTGCTTGAGCGCTCATTGGGATCATCCAGCGGCGTCAAATCTTGTAATTTACGCAGATAGTTACTCCCATGTCCACGAAGTCTGATGCGGTTCCACTTCCACCTGCTAGCGCGAATGTCAAACCGTTGAACTACAGGGAACAATTTCAGGTACATCGTCACACAACTCGCATGCTGTTGATGTCCCTCTGCTGAGACGCCGATCTGTATTATTATAGGGCCGTGAAGTTGTTTCTAGGTTTATCGAGTGAGTTTATCTATCGAGCTTATAATTCTCAGACGAATGTGAACGACTCTCGATAGCCCTTGTGAAGCCGCATCCAAGGCGACGATGGCATGTATGAACAAACACAACTATGATAGAGAAAAATGTCTGGACTATTTCCAGGCTTATAGGGAGTGTAAGAACGCTTGGGTGCGTGTTCTTGATGTGCTGCTGATAGAGTTCATCTGATGCGGTGACTCGTTTAGATTGAGCAAAGGAAAGACGATCGCAGAAACGGAAGACCGTCTTCCTGAGAGATTCCTCTGGTTCTTTTCGGTTTCAAATCTACGTTCACTCAGTCCAGTCACTCTTATTATGCCAAAGTCAACCTCTCTTTCAAGTCTTGAGACAAATTATAATAGTTCGGAGGCCTTGATTCGACTCCAAAATCATAGACATCACGGCGCAAAGTATTTCACTACGCAAACTCGTTTTGTTGTTCCTACGACAAGCTCGACACTCCGCTGCGTTTGAGATCTACACGATTTGCAGTCAATTTCATCTGCAGAGGACGGTTAATTGCTTGAGAGGCGTACCGGAAAGATCGATGTTGGGCTGGATTACTGCTTGCCAGACAGTCGTGTATCCACTTGCAAAGACTAATTTCAGTGTCCGTGGATTGTATCATTAGTGCAACTTACTTTGGACCACCCTCTTCATCAAGTTGACCGGGTTCGAGACTCCCAACTTCTGGGCCGCAGCAAGGGGAGTTTGTTCCCCAGACTGAAGAGATCAATTAACGCGAGTATGCAGGCGGGTCGCAATGACACTTACAAGGACCTGCAGCCCAGGCCGACCAGCCAATGTACACGTCGTTTTCAGAAAGGTAGTTGATCAATTGCGGTACCAACTGTCATGCAGAAGTTCAGCTTTCAATTCTTACAAAGTGTGTTAAGCAAAAAAGTACAAGCACACACCTCGAGACAAGTAGGGTCATTGGATCCACCGAATTCGCTGACAACAGCCCTTAGAGGTGGTTCAGCGATTGTATGTCAAGAATGGTGTACAGAACCTACTTGAGGTTGTTTTCTTGAAGCCAAGTCGTAAGAGCAGCCAGGTTAGTGGGACCTATAGCACGAAGAAGCATCAGCAAACGTTAGAAAACTCACCACAATTTTTAGATGCTCACCAGGCTGAGTGCATGTATCGTGGCTGCCTGAGAAATCTTCGTCTATCGAGACACAATTATCAATCAGCGCGTCTGTACCATCTCTCACTACAAAGCGAGAAGTACCGAGATATTCATGGATATCAATAGCCGTATTATTCAACGGGTCCACGATCTGATTCAACCACTCGCTCGATGGATCATCGTTAGCACCAGTGACCTGTGTCCAGGAATGGCCGCCAGTGAACCCGTTTCCAGGTGCGAGGATGAGTTGTGTAGCGCCAGTAGAACGGATTCCGTTGATAGCTGCTTGGTCATTTTGTAGAATTAGAGAGGTGGCCTGTCAAAGTCGGAGTGGTCGGTAAATAGATGTGAAGGAAATGGAGAACGAGACGACACATACCATGTCGTGAGGCTCATTGTTAATGCCGAAGACGACGTTGGGGTTGTCGACGAAGCGATTGGCAAGCTCTGTCCAAAACTCTTGGAATTGTTCAGTGGTAGCTGCATTGGGGTCAGTAGTGTCGCCGATGATCTGTTGATTAAGATTCAATGGGTAACTTTCTAAACGGAAATAAAATTGATTTACGCTTCCGCTGTTGGGCTGGGAGGATGGGTCACTAAAGAAAATTCGAGTTACTGCTTGACTATTATTGAGATTCTTTGGAATAATACTTGTATCTCTGTTCAACCAATATTAGCTTTCATTGCAAGTAAATGCGAGGATATACCAGAAGCAACTGACCATGTAATTATGAGGATCAATTAACGCATATGCACCTTTGGTAACGGTGATATAGTTGATTGCATCTTCATATTCACTAAAATACTACCCCATGCATATCAGCTGTGTTTTGGAAATGAATATAACGGAAAAATACTGAACGGTCTCATTGAAAGTACTCCCAAGACCAGTTGCTAGAGGACACATTCTTTCCATCAAGAACGTAACACGGAAAAAGTTGATTTGGTTCGTGTCAACGAATGTATCGACGGTACTCTGATAGAAAGAATGTCAGAAGAAGGATTTGACTGTAAGAGCCTGGTGTACTTCGGTGATGAAGTCGTAGGTAACGCCAAACTCTCCAGGCAGTCCTGTCCCAGGTGAACCAAAAACTCCGAATTCACCACCAGACTACGAAACAGGGATTAAACACGAACCAGAGACAGTAATATATCATAGCAGCACCTACCTCGTTGACTCCTGCATAGAGGATGGTCGCTCCTACACAGGCTGCGAGGCCAGCCACGATAATAGTGGACTGTAGGACGAGTCGTAGCTGTTTGGTCAAGAACATTATGTGGGGGGTTTCGGGGGTAAGTTGCTTGGATTTTGAGAATGGGCGGTTTCCTTCCTTATAAATTGGAAACCGGGACCAGAGGGCTTTGACGTGTCACTGCACAAGCAACCACCGGTAAGTCTGACCATGGTCCACAATGGCGGCGGATATTTTTCGGATTTGGCGTTGTGCAATTTGGGTGCAATATAAAGACGCTCATCGACCCATCTAAATGCTACCGCGGGGCGTGTGAGTGCAGTTACCGCACAGAGGATCGTTCATTGATGATCAGAGTCTTTCCAGGTTGATTCTGTGGTTTATTCAGGTTTCGAAGAAGTCAGACGGTACATGGCCAAGCTAATTAAAGAGCGAGGCTTACCGACAGTAATACTAGTTTTCGATCCGGGCCTTGTTTGAAATCAGCAGCCCAACCAACTTGTAC